TGATCCAAAGCACCAATGCCTGCATATTCAGCCATATTAAACTCCGTACTCCCATCACACCAGTTCTTGCCAAGCTCCACTGTCACCAAACTGATCGATTTTAAGATCCTCACATTCGTTTTCAATTTCCTTCATGCCCTGGCACCTCCCTACCTCTCCGATCTGCTTACTTCCCAACCAACTACCCACTGCCTTTGCTCGACTGGCTCTGGCCTCCTGCATATCCCTCATGCTCCACCATCGCTGGCCGCACTTTCAGCCACTATGCCCCGAGATTGTGGAACACTCTTCCTTTCTCCCTCCACCTTGCCTTTACCTTCCCCATCTTCAGATTGCACCTGAAGACCTTCCTCTTAGACTATGCCCATGGTCTCCTCCCGCTACCCCCAGCTCGGCATCATGCTCTGCCACTGGCAAGCGCTCTAGGACACTACTCTGTGTGCGGGGCACAATATAATGCAATTTTTTGTAGTAAACTCAGATCTTGCATTACAATGAGGTCACTAAAATACAGCTGCTAGTCAACAAATATTGCAAGGTTGATAGGTTGCTACTGATATCAGTTAAGTGCAACCAGGCTATAAGCAGAGCTATGTGATAATCAGACCGAGGTGCATTATGATGGGATTGGTCTGCATACGTCTTTCACTGATATAACTATTAAATTTGGATCACCTCAGACACCAGAATTCCACTCCAGAACTCATTCTTAGCCTTTAAGACCATTTGGTCTTAGCATTTCTGACTGAGCAGAATTCTGGAAGATGTTTAAGTTCATTTGTAATTCAGAACCAAGGACTGACGAAAACCAACGTTGAAATTAAACCTGAATTTAATTTTTTTTTACATTTCTGCACCATCTTTACTTTTTAGACTAAATGTTCTTACAGCCTTATATAATTCAGAAGTAGGGACCCTTAACATTCCAGCGCTCCTTATAATGGATCAAGAATGGGGCTTCTCTTGTGAAGGCACCATCACATGATTGTCACTGAGCAGGCACGCAGAAAGCTGGCCGACTCCATTATACTTGGAATTGGTTATCTTGCCTCAAAATGAGCCATAGTACTGCAGATCCCACTGTTGTGCTGACGGGTTTTGAAACGTCATGAGATGTAGTGAACAATTCGAAGTGCGCCTTCGGATTTGGATGTCTCCGCATCACGATTTTAGATTTTTAGTGAAGAAAATATCAAGGTCACCCACAATATATTTGCCATCTGTGAACTGGATTATAATGAAGTGCATTTTTAACAGGGTTCTACTCAATTCATGGCAGTTTGTGGGACATTCCTGTGCGGAAATTGGCTGCTGTGGTTTTCCACAAAAATAGTCACTACACTTTATACTGTAAAGCTTTGAGACGTCCACCAAACATGAAAGATGGTATATTAAATGCAAGGATTATTTGCAAGGTCTGGAGATTGGATTTTGTCCAATTATTGGGGCTCTACTGGCACATTATATGTAAACCATTTCACTTTAATTTAAATAAAAGAACATATGGTGCTGCTCACTTTAGAGAACATGAAATCCTTCAACCGAGTCCAGTTCTACCCAGTATATATATATTACTGTAGTTAGTTGTGATTGTTGAACATCTTGGATTCGGTTTGTTTCATGCAGTCAGATGTTTTCTCTCAATCATATGTGATGCTTGTGTTTTATTGACACATTCTTGGCTATGTCAAACCAAAAATTACTGTGGGGAAAGTGAGTTGGGTGCGGCAACATTCACTGAAAACTAAAGGCAAGAGGGAAAGCGTCAGAAGTGATTAAAGTCACCACCGATATTCATTCTGTTCTTACTGAAATGATCCACAAGTAGCTGGTCAAAGAAAAAAAACTTGTCCTGCAGAGAACAAAGGCTAGTTTATTTTTATCAGTATTTTTAAAGAATGTTGCTAATATTATTTGCAAAAGAATGTTTCAAAAAAAGGCAAATAAGCTTTGTAATACTCTTTTCCTGTAAAATCAAAAGTTAAAATATTAGCAAATGTAAACATGGCCAGAAAAAATGTTTTTTGCAGAGACTCAATAGAGTGGGGAAAATCAGCCAGAGCTCCCTAATGTACACCATGCTATATTATCTCTGTCAGCCCTACCCAATACTACCACCAGTAAATACACTTGTGTTATGCACTGTCAGGCTTTGTCTTGCTGTGTGATCAGAAGCACCCTCTCAGGGGGTCAGCATGATGTACTCGGATTCTATGCTATGAGAGGATACACTGTTCACTCCAACGTACTTCACAGACTCCACCATTGCGTGAAGGGCACTATACAAATGCAAGTTGTTGTGGTTCCTTTGGTGCCATTTACATTACCTTTTTTTCCCAAATGAACACTTTTTTGTAATCCTAAACCTTATACATTTATCTAAAACCATTATAAGGGAATGAATCTGTTAGTTACACATTAAAGGTACATTGTTAAGTCTTCTGTGGGTCCTGTAGCACATTGGTTAGAGCACTCGCCTCGTAAGCAAAAGGACCTGGGTTCATTTTCTGGGTAGGGTGAAACATTAGGTAAGTTTCCTTACTTCACACGCCTCTGTTTCCCCAGCAGTAAGTAGGAACCTGATCATTAGTCAATTGGCGGATCGATTTTCCGGGGGTAATAATCCCTCAAAAAAAATGTGGTCACTCAATCCACGACTGTTTGTGGGTCACTGCTGTGAACAATTTCTTGCTGTGTTTTCGCTCACAAAATATACAGTCAATTCACTTTACAGTACATTCTGTGAAGGGTGATATTACAGTTCAATGTTTTGTGATGATGTACTATTCCCACACATGGATCTTTTTATTCCATGACGGAGAGAGAAAAGGCAGCAATTTTTTGCAGTTGCTCATTCATCAGCACCGCAGAGCCATTATATACCCTTCACTGCTGCTTGTGCCATCTTCACAAGCAAACTTTGAACATAAGGGCTAAAACAATTTCCTACTGTCACATCCCCTTAAACAACGTCTGCCAGCACAGCAGGGTCACCATACATTGCTGGACTGAACACAGGAGCTTTCTCCACACTACCACTCAGGAGTTTCTGTTCTCTCCAGCAGAATAATTATAATAATCCTTGCATTTGATACAGTACCTTATCACATCTTTAAGACGCAGCAGCCAATTCCATACAGCAGTGTCCCACAGACAGTCATGGATTGAGTAACCAAATTCTTCTTATTTTTTTAAGGAATTATTACCCCCAGACACGAGATCCACCAATTGTCTTACAACCAGTTCCTACTTACAGCTAGGTAAACAGAGGCGTGTGGAGTAAGGAAGCTTGCCCAAAGTTTTGGCCTGCCCGTGAATTGAGCCCAGGTCCTCTGGCTTGCGAGGCAGGAGCTCTAAACACTAAGCTTCAGGACTCCACTGCTGCACAGTGTTCCAGTAATTGTTGTGATCATCATGATTGAAGACAAGAAAGAAAGTGTCAAAAGTGTTTAAAGTCACCACCAATATTCATTCTGTTGTTTGCACTAAAATAATCAAGTGTTCTCCATGTGGGAGGGTCTTTGTAACAACTGCACATTTCTTTGAACATAAATGTTCATGAGGACTTCATAATGATGAAGACTATTGGGAAAAGTGGTCTGATTCCCCAGTCCTAGAGCCTTGAAATTACGTTCAGACGAGCATCAATATCATGCGTAAGGTTAACTCGGTACAGTTGTGTGGATGATGTTTGAATAATAATAATAATAATAATCCTTGCATTTGATATAGTGCTTTTCACGTCGGGAGGACGTCCCAAAGCGCTTCATAGAACACACTGTAAAGTGAATTGCCTGTATATTTGTGGGCGAACGCGGCAGCCAATTGCGGACAGCAATGTCCCACAAACAGTCGTAGATTGAAAATGACCAATTTGTTTTTGGTTTTGGAGGGATTATTATTAGGCGTGTGGAGTAAGGAAACTTGCCCAAGGTTTTGCCCTGCCTGGAATTGAACTCAGGTCTCTCGCTTGCAAAGCGAGTGCTCTAACCACTGAGCTACAGGACTCCACAAATCTGGTCACAGATATATTGCTAAACACATGCGACAGAAAATTTATGATCTCAAAGGGAGGCAAAATAAATCCTCATAATTTGGGGACATGGAGATGGAGAGAGCCTTCCACATTATAATCTACCACAACTGATCACTTACACTGGAGATCCTTTTGCTGTGGACTTATTATAGTAAAATCTCATTGTACATGTTATACCAAAAGATCACTGCAATAAGTACATGATACATCCATTTGGGGGAAATAATAAGACATGAGAACGTGTAGGGGGAGAACTGATGTTTTTAAACCAACAGAGATAAAGCATTTTTTGTGTGAATGAATTACTCTTTGGAAAAACAGTACAATTGTGTGCAAGCTCCTTCCTACCTCAGAAATTTCCCTAGAATTGTGGAAGTCTATTGATTAAAATACTGTACTACAGATATTCTACTCTGCATTGTTGGGTAAAGTTAACTTACGGTGCAAACGCTAGTCAAAGTTTATGTGCCTTAGTCATCTAATGCTATGTTGTTATTAATGGTCTGTTCTCATGTTTGTGGGAATTTCTATATGCTTTACCAGGAAACAATTATTATGCGAAGAAGGGTGGGCAGAACACTGTACCACAGAGAACAGAATTCGGCTGCTCTGTTTTATAATGTTTAAAAAGGAATCAATCCTTTATTTTAGTAACCTAGAATCAGTGAAATGGCTGGAAATGGCTGTAAACCACTTGATTCCAGTGAGTTCTTTAAGGTGAATTATATTTATGAAATCATTATTTTTTGCTGGGCACTAGGTTTTCTGTACGTGCAAGCATAAAATTTGCATAACCTTCGCTGGAACTTATACTTTCATGTTTTAGTTAATTATTTGTGTGCTTTGAAGCTCCTTTCTCTTTTTCTGTTGGAATTTTCTTTCCAGCAAGGCATTGATCGTTTTGTTAGGTGATGCAATTATTAACTGGAAATTAACTTCATGTTCCATTATCCTTGTGTTCCAGGCTAGGGTATGTGGCCCATGCTGAAGATGTTGCTTCAAAACTTCTACAGTGCTTCCCAAAAAACAGACTGTCAGCTCAAGCTGCACTGAACCATGAGTACTTTAGCGACCTTCCTCCACGACTTTGGGAGCTCTCTGACGGTTAGTATTTGCCAACCTTTACTCCTAATCTCTCCAATCTTCTCCTACCCTGCTCCTCTGCTCACCCCCTCTGCTCAGCTAAACCGAACATGCTGTGCACTTCCTGCATTCTCGCCATTGGTGGCTGAGCCTTAGTTCCGACATCCCTAATTTCTTGAATTCTGTCTGCCTACTCCTCCATCTCTTCCTCTCACTTTCTGTCTTTAAGATTCATCTTAAATCTTAAATCTGAAAGCACATATGACCACTTCTCCCTTCCCTCCTTTCCCCACTCTCTTGTTTGGTGTTCAATGCCAGCCTTGAATTCACTCCGAGATATTACTCTTTGTGATTGGTGCTTGTTTTAAAGACACCGATGAAATCAATTAATATGCGTCAGATCCAGTCCAGTTCAGTAGTTTTGCCTTTTTTGCCAATTATAAAATCCTACTGACATCCACACTATAAATCCAAATAGAATAAAATTGTATGTTCAACATGGGACTAAACAGTTAATTTTGTGATGGAAAACTGCATTAATTGGAGATGAAGATGCAAAGTTTGAAGAGTTCTGCAAAGGAACTAAATGACTTAGCAACTCGGTGAAACTCACAGTTGCCTTTACTAGCAGCTATCCTGGCATCTAGGTGCCAGCACTGATTCCAGTTGAGCTTTCGAGGCATGACACTGGACTCATTTTAAAACAAAGCTTCATGTTGTGATGGGAGGAGAGTAGGATGGATATTCTGGAAAGATAAGATCAAATAGGTTGAAGGGCCTCCTTCATGCAAACCAATATTGTGATCTTATGAACTTGTGAACTCCTAAGAGACGGTCCTCTTTGGGATTGTAGTCTGGCCAGTAAAGGAGAAGAAACCATATTATAAATCTGACCATATTCTTTCAATTAGGATGTTTTGCCCAGTCCTCTCTGTTGCTCGTCTAAGACTAAATTTGGACTCCCATTATAAAGCATCAAAAAGTTAGTCAGAGTTCTAAAGTTGAGACAACTGCTTGTGCAATGCTCAAGTCTGCATCAATGGATGGTCAGGTGTAGCCAGTAATCTGGGTACCGAATTTCTCAGCAAATAATTTGAAATTGAAAATAAGACTTAATTTAGGAATTTTCCATACATCTGCACAATCTTATATTTTAAGACAAAATGATTGTTCAGGCAAAGAATAGAGGGAATTTCATGCCTCAAGTGGGGATCCCTTGGCAACACAGGATGGGAAGTTTAAAGGACCATTATCCTCACATGGGTTTCTAAGTGTTTGCTCTGTGAAGGTTAAACAAATGAGGAAGAATAGAAATAAAATATACTGGTTTGGTAGTGGGTATCCGTCTGTTGTTGGAACGACAGAAACGTTTTACATTTAATTGTAACCAATGTTTCAATGCTTGAGGATGATTCACTAATCTTTAATGTACTGAATTTTCGTGCAGTACTTTCTCTGTGAGCCATGCAAGAAATATGTTGAATTAGAGCTTTTAATGAGGTAGTCATGAAGAGAATATATGTTGTTCTATCAGAAGTTATATCAAAGTGACACAATGAGGAGTAACTACATTAATGTTGTTTTCCTGGATGAGGGTTGGGATGGGAGGAGCGTGCACTTAGTATAAGAACTGAGGGTGTGTTTCTGACATTTCAGCTGTGGTGTAGCTACTGCGTCAGTCACAAACCCCTTGTCTGTCACTCTTAATTGTTTGCCTGATGCACTCAGAGGCAGCAAGTGACCTGCACTGTTCAACTGCTCAGTAAAAGTTGACCGTCCATTAACAGATTCACAAAGTCCTCACAGTTCAGCAGTTACCTTTCAAAGCAACAGGCAATTGCAGACAGTAACAAATGAGTTTTCTTTTAATTAAAGCTTTACGTAGGGAATACATTTGAGGATTTTTGTGTGTGTGTGTGCGTGCGCGTGTGTGATGTATATTTTATTTATTTTGGAGAATGGCGTTGTTAAGCTTTATGCTATATACATCATTAGTTTGACACAAACAGCACAGTATGTTTTATTTATACTAGATGTGGCTACTGGCAAATGAAATCCTGCAAAATTGACACATTTCATTTAAAATTGGGTTTGGGGAGAGAACCCCTAAATCATCAATCATCCTTGAAGTCCTTTTGTGTGAATTGTCTGGAAGCTTCAGCTGTCAGTTCCTAATATTCAATCTACGAATTGAGTGACACTTCCTACAGACAAATCTCCCTGACAGGCTCCATGTGACTTTCCATAGAGAGAATGGTTTCCAGGCATTCGTAGGAGAGTGAGCCAATAAAGGAAATAATCATTGCTTTTCTTCAGAACTTCAAAGTATTGTCCACTCATAGATTAAATAATGCTATTGAGAAAACAGCATTGGGTAGTCTAGCTAATGTGATACGTTAACTTCAGTGCACGCCTAATTTGCAATATTGTGACATCTTCCAAAGAAGATTTCAGAAAATGTTAACACTTAAGAATACTGAAAAGTATTCCAAAATGTTCTTTCCACCTCAAAATGGAGGTTGAGATTTATTTGCTGTACAAAAATGTATAAACAAAAACCCTTATAATGTGAAATCACTTATCATGTGAAATCCAATATCTTAGAGGGTGGTTCCTACCTCTATATTCTTGGCATCTCCAACAGCTGTGTACACAATCTAATAGAATAATTACCCCAATAGCATAACCACCTGGAAGGTTTTTTAAATTTTCATTCCTGTTTGTGGAACCAGTGTTTCTTAATTATCTGGCCTTGCAAGCTCCATTTATTTATAAATGTATAAATTGGGGCGGAGACAGCATACATCATGCGGCAGAGAGGAGGAGTTTCTACAGTTTAAGATGAAGCTTTAGCCAAGGGGGGAAAAGGCCTCAAAATTGTAGAGTCAAATCCCAGTTAGAATATTAGATTATTTACAATGACTACATTTGATACACTCTCAACAGTTAAGAATATCTACGTGAACAGAATGCATGTAATAGCGTACTCAGTGTGAATGTAAATGCTACAAATGTACAGGGCCTTACAAGTATAAGAGATTGTTTATAATTGTTCTAACATTAAATGAACTCTACATGTAATTATGTGTTTTAAATTCTGCTGTTCGCTTGTTAGTTTTTGTATATAATTATGAACATTTTGAATCCTTCACTTTTTTCCATTCCTTCTATGCCAGATGCTAGTTAGAAAGTATATTTACATATATATGCACAGGAGGACATGCATATATGCTTAGATGTTTATAACAGATTACTCAGTTATTTAATGCTGTATAGAATTTATAAATTGTTTGAACAGTATGATTAATATAATTAAGGTTTCATTAGTACAGTGGAACAAACCTCTGTATTTTGTTATTTTGGCTATCTTATTGCTCATGATCAATGGGTATTGTGTTGTATAAACTAGATAAAACTGCCACTTCGATAATTGACATTCAAACTGAAGTGATTCATTTGTACATTGTCAGAGGCATCAGATCTTCATTTCTCACAGAGTCCAAGATTTTAACCAAATTCATGCTGTGAGGTGACATCTCAATCCTGTCAGGAGGGACGGTTAGGAGTTGCCAGGATTTTGATAAACCCATGGGGGGCAACACATTTTGAATAGTATAGTGGGACTTCTCCGCTAATTTGGACTTATTACACACTTCCCACTTAGTTATCAGGCTGTGGATAAATCCGGATCTGTCAGTAAACAAAATGCCTCCACATTATCAGACTGTAACAGGCTGCCAGCAGAGAAATGCTTGTTCCAATCATTAACAGACACAATCTATGCAGAACACCAGAGGGGAATTAAAATTGGGAAAGAAAATACCTCAAGGGTGGTAATTTTAATATAAGAATTTAATTTGTTATTTTCCATATTAAGAATTTGGCTGTATTAATCCTTTTATCAGCGCTCAGCAGGTTATTTGCACAAGTATAACCATAAGGTGATATTCATTTCCAGAACAGGTCTGCACAGAGCTCCAAACAGTGACTGATGCAAATCCTTTTGAAGACCAGACCAAAGATGAAAATCTACATATTTTTAAATAAAAGCAGTGCTAAATGCCTAGAGAAATGTTTAGATGTAGTTGAGTAACGTTTCTGCTTCCTGTAGATAATTGCAGCCAGAAAATTAAACCTGAATGCATTTAACCATCTGAGGGCAGGAATATTTCTCCACTGATCTCCACATTAGCTGCAGTATTTTACTGTGTTGTCTATTATAATGTGGATTATACCACCACCAACAGCATCTCATTTTGCAGCATATTTGTCGTAAAATCTTTAAATGAAGCATAGTGAAAAAAATCCCACTGCAATTATGAGACACCCAATTACTTTGCTAGTTCATTGATACATTTACGTATTTGCAATAAGCATTCTTACATGTGTATCCCTTATTTGAGGTGTAGTGGAAGTGACATATTTTAATACGAAATAGCATTTTTTTTTGCACCACTTGTTATTCTCCAGTGGAGTGGACGCAGAGTGGGAATGGCTCAACAACAACAACTTTCACCTATATAGCACCCTGCATGCAGGTTAGCGTCCCGGAATCCAGTACTGGGATGCAAGGAGATGGACAAGAGTGAATGCTGTCTGGTAACTTGCCTTACCATTCTCTGGTCCTCCCACCGTGGTATCTCCTCACTACCAGTGGAGTCCTCTCCTAGGCAGCCTAACTGCTCAATGGCATCAACCCATGTCCTTCACCTCATACAGTCAGGTGCTGTTTGTTGCTGTGTATTTTGAAATAAGATCAATGTAAAAACAAGTCAAAACATTTTCAAAAAAAATTTCAATTAGCTTTCAAAATGTATCCACATTTGATTGCAGATAAGAATACAATTTTTTTTAGAGCACTGTTAATTAAATTTTGACTAACTTTTCAAAATGTGTCCTGGGATATTTTTTTCTTTCCTGCTTTCCTTCCCCACCACAATCATTGGCCAAGCTTTCAACTACTACACCCTAGCCTCTGAAACTCACTCTCCTCTACTTCTCCATCTCATCCCTTCTCTATCCATCTTTAATTCCCATCTTAAACCCTACCTCTTCAACCACACCGGTGATCGCCTCTCTCTTCCTCCTCAACCTTGACTGGTGCCCTACCCTATCATTACGTTCTCCAAGAAGTTATCCTACAGAAAGGGCATTGTAGAAATAAAAGTTGTTCTTGGTGTTTAATGTTGACCTAAAGAACAGGCAGATGGGCCTCAGTTTGATGTCTGATCCAAATAGTGAGACTTTTAACAATGCAGCACTCTCCCAGTACTGTACTAGATTGACAGCCTTGACTATGAGATCCAAAACTATTGTGGAGCTTCTGACCAAGGCACAAGATTGAAAACTGAGCCAAGCTAACCCAGTCCCAGAACAACTGAGAGATTTTATATAAAATGTAAATTAGACGATGATACTTTTATGGTGTAATTTAAACCAGGAGGCATGTACATGTTCCTGCCATTCTGTTGTTCTGGGCACTGGAACTGTAACATAGAACAGCTGTGCTATTTCTCAATTGTTCATGTTAATACAGCTAAGAAATAAAAAAAGTGCATGAAATTTCATCATATTCTTTAACTCTGTGTTTAAAGGAGTCTTGTTGGCGAGATTCTATATCTAGAAAAAAGTTTTTTTTTCACAAGTATTTTTTAAGGTAAATGCAGAAACTAAAATTTTTTGACCACTCTGTTTTTGTTCACCCCCAGTATCTTCTATTTTCACTGTGCCCAGTGTAAAGCTGCAGACTGAGATAGATGACAGCATGAGACTTTATGGGAAAAGCAACAGCCACGGCAAAGGTTTTTCCAACCACAAACACTGAAGAAATCTTGCCCTTGCTACCAGTGTACAGGTAAGGAAGACATCTACTAGCATTCCAAAGTGTCTTCAGGAACAAAGAAACTTTATTTTTAACCTGTCAATGAACGATTCATATCAGTTTGGTTCAGGATGTTGCTTTTAGTTATCGGAACTTTTACTGAAATAATTTATCTCTACAATCAACGTGTATCAGTGTGTGAGAGATTATACAATAATATGGAAGCGAATCAATAAAATCAACTTTTCAAGGAAAAAAATTAAGAGTACAAACAAAGTACAGGGGAACTTTGTGAGAAAGGGGCCTCTGGGTCCAATAACTTAGAGGCAACATTAAAGTGAAGCCTTTAAAAAAAAGTAGGTTTTCAGGTCAGGGCTAATGACATGTCCTGCACGCTAAATGTGAGACTCTATGTGGACATCAGTCCTGCATGTAGTGATCATGCCCATCATACAGGAAGTGACATATGTAGTGCTTTCTAGCAAATAGCATACATGTGCAGGAAGTGATATCAGTGATGCTTCCTGCATATAGGGTGCATGTGCTCAACATGAAAGAAGTGACATGGATGAAACCTGACAACCTGGAAGCCGGCTCGTCATGCCAGAGGCTGGCATACTGTGCTTCCGCTTAATGTGAGTCCACAGAACCCCAGCAATATAAACAAGGCAGCGTTATACCAAAGGTCATTATAACAGGGCCTTCTATACATACCAACTGCATCTGATCTGCAACAGTTACAGTACAAATTTGCCTCTTCTAGGTAATTTACCTACCTGCCATTACTAACAATGGCAAATTTGATTGTTATGGACTACCTTAAGTTGAAATGTCAGCCTCTTGCTTTAATCCATGGATAAATGGTGTGTAAACATAACTGGAGTCACTTCTGAATTGGTTCGCTTGCACAATTTCCTTTTAACCAGTTTGTTTGGTAAGCCTTAGCAGTAGTTGAGGTACTGAGATTTTCAATTTGTTAGTTTTGTTCTGAGCAAAAAATAATTCCATATTTATAGGTGAAAAGACTGCATATTTTTGCCTCATTTCATTTGCTTTCAGTCAGACAGACAGGCTGTGAAGAATATCTTCCCATAGCATGATATTCAGTCAGATATTGCACATTATTAAAATGCCCGTATGAAGTTGGTGAGTTTTGCCATGGAGATGACAGTAAGTGTATAAATTGAATTTGGGAGAAAATAATCAGAAAAAGAATGTAGGCCAGCATGCAGCTGGAAATAATTTTGGCCTTAGAAACCACATGATATCTAATAATAACGCTGGTGAATGAAGTTAAAATTACAGTGTTCAGGTTAGGATTAAATTTTAAATTACTTGGGGAATATGAAGGGATTTAAAAGGTTTTAGAGGCTTTGGTAGATTTATGTAAAGTTCCCTCCCCAATCTTAAAAAGTGAGTACTGGATCACAAGTATCTCCCGCTGTGTTTGTGTTGGAGTCAAGGCATTAGAATCCAGTCGCCACCAGAGAGATTCCTAATTGAATTGATTAAAACCTTTTACCGGGAGAGTCCAGAGCAGTACCGACCTGACTGTGTGGGGATTCATATCCTGCATTCTTGTTCTCTTTAAGTTGAGGCAATACAGAGATGAAGTGCACGCCAGTCATTCCTCTGCATTTGTTATTCATAACACACCGTGCGGCTGCATCAGGTAAATCTGATGAAGGAATTCACCAGGGGATCCATATCCCTTTAAGACACCTTTGTGCTTGCACCTCATGTGTTCCGTTTCTCACACTCATGCTCCCATGAGGTCCATTGCTCTTTTCTGTTGCCCATTACATTCTAGCTGCTGCTGAAAATCAGACAATAATTTTTTTTATTAAGCACTGTCTCCATGTCTCAGCCTGGAGGCTTGAGATTGGTTTCTATCGTAAAGTTTTAATATATTTCACGAATTGTTTCAGTACATTTGCTCAAGTCCTGCCTGGAAAGTGCTTAACTGCCGGAAGACTCCTCCTATAAATAACCATCAATTGCTAGTTACATTGTTCTACAGTCACTATACTTTACAGTAAATCTTGTGATGTGCTTTGAGACATTCCCTGATGTGAAAGGTGTTATAATCAAATGCAGGTATTATTGTTATTGTGGTCTGCTGGCATGGCCATGTTAAGGAATAATGATAAAATGGAATAATGTGGCAGCCATTTTGCACACAGCAAGGTCCCACAGAGGTGAATAACCAATAAATCTAGAGGATTATTGGTCAGGAAAATTCTTTTTTTCTCCAAATCGTATCATAATAATAATCATCCTTGAATTGATATAGCCCCTTTCACTTTGGGAAGACATCTCAAAGTGTAGTGATTGTGTGTTTTTGTAGGCCAATCTGTACATAGCACAAACAACTATGAACTAATTGTGCCCAGCAGTGTTCCATAAACAGTCATGGATTGAGTGAACAAATTATTATTTTTTTGAGGTATTATTATCCCCGGAAAAGCGATCCGCCAATCGACTAACAACCGGGCTCCTACTTACTGCTAGGTAAACAGAGGCGTGTGCAGCAAGGAAAGTTGCCCAACGTGTTGCCCTTCCCGGAATAGAATCCAGATCTCTCCCTTGCGAGGCGAGTGCTCTAACCACTACCAGGATTCGAGGGGATGGTCAGGAGGGAGGTGCGGGGGAAGCTGAGAGTGTTGATTAAAGGCACAGTCAAAGAGATGCGCGTTAAAAGGGTTTTGAAATCTGAGAGAAGGCGCAAAGCAGACAGATTTTGAACGAATTCCAAAGCATTAGGGTATAACAGCGGAGTCTTTAACCGCTGTTGGGGTTGGGGAGACAGACAGCAAGGAACAAGCAGGAGCCCAGAGTTAGAACACAAGGGACAATAGGTCCGGCCGAAGGTGAAGGTTTAAAGCCAGGATATGAAGATAAACAGGGAAAGAGGGGCGAGCAAAACTGAGGGAGTTTCTGAAAGCTCAGCCACTGTTGGTGAGGTGAAGCGGGGCCAGAAACTGTGCAGCAAAAGCTGAGTGGAGGGTGAGCAGACGGGTTAGGGTTGGGTGGGAGAAGATCAGAGGTAGAGAGGTGCTAGAGAGTGGAGGGATTGTAGCCGAAGCTGAAGACACTGAAATTGATCCTCTGGGAGACAGTGGAGCCTGGTGAGGATTGGGACCATGGAGGGGGTGAGGTAAGAGAGAGGAAAAAATATCAACCAGGATACCGACTATCCAGAGCCTTGTTGAAGTTGCACAGTGCAGACAGGACTGGGCTGGGCTGTGATATGTAGAGTTAGAGAGTGATACCAGTCCACATCGGTGTTTATACTCCATACAAGCCCCCACTACCCTCTCGCTCACGTACACGGCAAGTTTTCTGTTAAATACTATACATTGAAGTGATTTACTTCACCATGAATGCAACACAGACAGAATCCTATAACCTCTAACAATGCTGTCCCCCCAATACTGCACCTCTGACAATACAGTGTACCCCAATACTGCATCTCCAACAATGCTGTCGCCCCCAATATTGCACCTCTAACAATATAGTGTACCCCAATACTGCACTTCTAATAATACAGTGTACCCCAATACTGCACTTCTAACAATACAGTGTATCCCAATACTACATCTGTATCAATACAGTGTACCCCAACACTGCACCTCTAACAATACAGTGTACCCCAATTTGCACCTCTAACAATACAGTGTACCCCAATACTGCATCTGTATCAATACAGTGTACCCCAATATTGCACCTCTCACAATACAGTGTACCCCAATACTGCACCTCTAACAATGCTGTCCCCCCAATACTGCACCTCTGACAATACAGTGTACCCCAATACTGCACCTCTAACAATGCTGTCCCCCCCAATACTGCACCTCTGACAATACAGTGTACCCCCCAATACTGCACCTCTGACAATACAGTGTACCCCAATACTGCATCTCTAACAATGCTGTCCCCCCCAATACTGCACCTCTAACCATGCTGTCCCCCCCAATACTGCACCTCTGACAATACAGTGTACCCAAATACTGCACCTCTAATAATACAGTGTACCTCAATACTGCATTTCTATCAATACAGTGTACCCGAATACTGCACCTCTAACAAAACAGTGTACCCCAATACTGCACCTCCAACAATACAGTGTACCCCAATACTGCACCTCTAACAATATAGTGTACCTCAATACTGCATCTCTATCAATACAGTGTACCCCAATACTGCACCTCCAACAATACAGTGTACGACAATACTGCACCAAACAATGCAAATAGCAACTACAAGTTGCAAATAACGAATTCTGACAGTCACTAGATATGAGTCCCATGAACCCGTGGGAATACCTCAATCTACTTCTGAGCTCATCAGAGCAACGTTCCTGTATGTCAATCTCTATTTAAGAATCCATGTTGTAAATACCATATTATTTACCTCAACGACTTGTCCAAACAATAGTCGAAGAAAACTATAACTCAGGAAAATCTAGTCGAAAAAAATATTTTGGGATCAGAGAAGCAGGACTTGCAGACTGCCTTTCACTAGCTCCAATTTCATGCGGAGGAATAAAATGTAAATTAAGCTTAAATATTAATTTCGACCAGCAAGGGAAAATATAACATTTGTGCGATGATAGTAAATACTTAATGCCAAGAGTTTTGTTGCATGAACAGAAAGAAAGATTGGAGGTAAAGTTGCTTTATCTCTGTGGTAGTGGACAGATGAGCCCTTTATTTCAGCTGTATCCATTTTTAGTTTATTCTAATCCGTGATGTGGATACTGGGGTATGCCAATGGGAGTGGGAAAAGCAGAAGAGTAATTCTACCAGGACTCAGAGCTTTTTATTGTATTATTTATACGAAGACATCAGCCAAGTAAGGTTCACTGCAAAGTCCCTGTAGGCACCGAGCATCAGCCTTTGTGCTGTTGTCTGAGAAGCGACTGAGCATAAAAGGCTGTTTCAGCTGAAGTGGCTGACAGTCCACGACGACACATGAATGCACTAAGGACTATATCATGGTGACAATGACTGCATGGGGAATGAGCTGCTTTCGACT